CCCCCGCGCCCCGCGCCCCCCGCGGGGACCCGCGGCCGCCACCAGGCTCCACTCCAGCCACATCCTTTTTAATGTCCCGCAAACGGGAAACGGCGCCGCCGACCTCGCCCGGGGACCTGCCGGGCCGGGCCTGACTCCTCCATCCCGGGGGGGCTCCCGGGACCCCCCGGGGGCCTCGGCGGGGCTGGGGGTGACGGGCACCGCGTGTCCCCCCTCCACGCCCGGGTTGGCAGCGCTCAGCGCCGGAGCCGCCAGATCTCCACGGAGAGACCCCCGGAGGCGGCGGCCACCGTGTCCCCGGCCACGCTGATCTGGGGGACACGGGGATGAGCGGGGTGCGACGCGCACACGCGTGTGCCGGGAATGCACGTGTGTGTGCTGGGAATGCACGTGTGTGTGTGCTGGGAATGGATGTGTGCACACACGCGTGTGCTGGGAATGCACGTGTGCACACACACGTGTGCCGGGAATGCACGTGTGTGTGCTGGGAATGCATATGTGCACACACATGTGCGGGGAATGCACGTGTGTGTGTGCTGGGAATGCACATGTGTGTGTGCTGGGAATGCATGTGTGCACACACATGTGCTGGGAATGCACGTGTGCACACACGCGTGTGCCGGGAACGCACGTGTGTGTGCTGGGAATGCATATGTGCACACACATGTGCTGGGAATGCACTTGTGCACACATGCGTGTGCCGGGAATGCACGTGTGTGCGCACACGCATGCCGGGAATGCACATGTGTGTGCACATATGTGCTGGGAATGCACGTGTGTGCGCACGTGTGCAAAGGAAATGCATGTGTGCACATGCATGTGAGCGGGGATGCACACGCACACATATATGTTGGTGAGCACATACATGTGCCAGGGAGCAGGCACATGCTCACACGCATGCTGGGGAGCGCACACACGTGCACATGTGTGTGCCGGGGAGCACGTGCTTGCATATACGTGTGCTAGGGGAGCTCATGCATGTACACACGTGTGCCGGGAGCGCGTGCTTGCACACGCGTGTGCCCCGCGCGCTCACTCACCCCATTGAGCACGTCCTTGTGCGCCCGCGAGCAGATGGTGCGCGGAGGGTCCGTGGGAACGTGGACCTGGAAAACAGGGAAGGGGCCGTGGGCGCCGGAACGGGGGGGACACGGCCGGGGGTCACGGCCACCCCCCGTCACCCACCCGCAGCGTCCGGTCCGTGGACGGCGCGTAGAGGGAC